GGGGGGAAATTTCTCAAAAGTGGGTACTAAGCAGATGCAACGTTGTAATTCTAGGGTAGCGATTTGCCTCCGTACTCCACCACTGACTCTAAGTTCCAGATGGCGCCTGGTGTGGAATTCAGGGCTCTGGCTTTGAAAATAACTACACTGAGTGTGCCAAGTCCTTAACACATCGATGGCGCAAATTCTGATAATTTGACAATGCTCGAAAACAGTCTGTTTTGAAATACTTTAAAAATTAAACTTCACTATGCATACTGATTTTTCAGTGTTCCCTTTCGCTAAAAGTTTTTAAATTCCTGTTTCGGGTAAAAAGTGAGACGCTCCGATACAAAAGCATTATAGCTAGCTGGGCTAGGAGGTACGGACAGTTTTGTGTATGGCGATTTTATGAGTTATGGGCAGTTTTGTGTTTGGGGAGTCTATGGGATACGAGCATTTTTGTTTGGGGAGTCTATGGGATACGGGCATTTTTATGTTTGGGGAGTCTATGGGATACGGGCATTTTTATGCGTGATGATACGGGCAGTGTATGGTGATTCTAAGAGATATGCGCAGTTTTGTGTTTGGGGATTCTAAGTGTGCCCAACATTGTCTTTAGTCTGTTTCTGATTGGACTTAATGTTATATGTCCTCTTCGTCCTTAACCGTGGACAACATTGTTTTTTTCCCCAGTACCGGCGGGCGGACTGGACTCTGGTGCCAGGTTCACATACGTGTGTGCAGCACCTGCAAACTCAGCCTGCACCTGGAGGAGCTTAGCTTCGCCGCCTGCACCACCAGGGGCCGTGGACGAAGGAGAAGGCCCAATCAAGACTGGTGTTATAATGGGTAGGTGTTTAATGTAGATGTTTTTAAGCCCCTATCGACACAATTTAGATCATTCAGGAGGCAGAACCCACGACCTTACTTTGCGAGTTCCGAGTATTCAAACTGTGCGGCACGCTCCGTGTGTTTTACGACAGGGTTTTCCCAAATCCATTCCACCTTGTGTCCCCTCTCCTATTCCACCTTTCCGCTTACCCCTTCTTTTTATCTCTTTCTCTTCTTCTTATCGTCTCTTGTCGTTATAGCCCTTCTTTTCGCCTTCCATTTTTTCTTGCAACGACTGCCGCGTGCACTTTTAGGTTAATTCTTTGTCGCTCCCTGCCTCCCCTCCCCCCCCCCAAAAAAAACAACAACTTATTTTTCATATTTTCGCAACACATTTTCTTTCATTCTGCGTACGAGTTTCCTTCCCCTTGTATTCTTTAGCCTTGCCTTGATCCCGACTAAATGCCTTTATAGGTCGAAATGCGGCTCGTATTTCATGATGCACAGCCAAGGCTATTCATAACACGGGGGGTGGGGGATAAGCCTTCTTTTACCAAGGCACAATAGCAAGGACGCAGAGAGAGAGAGAGAGAGAGAGAGAGAGAGAGAGAGAGAGAGAGAGAGAGCCAGAGAGAGAGAAAGAGCGAGAGAGGGGGGAGGGGAGAGAGAGAGAGAGAGAGATTCCAGCTGTTATATGTAAAAAAAAATAGATGAAGTTATAAACTTAGAACTAAGCCGTCTATTTTGACAGGGAGTCTGGAAGCTAGTCAATGAGACAAAGTCTAACCTTTGAACTAAAAGATTCTATATCCCTTGTAAACATTTGGAAGATAAACCCCTTTAGTTTCAAGATGTAGAAAGGTAAAAGTACAGAGTAAACGACAGGAAAACAAACAAAGATGAAATGTTGGCATTCACATAATGAATGATTTGGAAGCAGCCGAGATATATCAAGGATTAACAAGGCACGTATGTGTGCCGAGTGCCCGCCGTTCGTCATAATACGGACGACAACTGGAATTTTTTTTTAAAGTAAGAAGATCCTCTTAGAATTAGAGCTTGCGGAAACACCCTCCATTACTCACTGAAGCTCTAATTGCTACGAGAGTGAGTCCTGATTTACGACTGAAATCTGTTTGGACCTGCGCTACGCAACGTTACTGGGATCCTTCAGAAATGGTTTTCTTTGCACGCATACCCGGGCAGCTGACAACAAAGTATCCACTGACGCGTTGCCTCCTGGGAAGTAGACCTCATCCATCTGAGCTATTTGTGGCCTGTCTACTTGTGGTATTTCGGTGAGGTACTTGTCGATGTTCTCCCACTGAGAGCTGCCTTCTTTGTGGAGGGCTGTTTACTGAAGACATAATAATTTGCACATGCAGAACAGGGGGGGAACTCCGCGCTTCTCCTTTGTTTTTGTAGAGGATTGTTTTGTTTATCCTTTCTTTTGGGGAGGGATTTGTGCGGTCTTCTTTCTGCCGTGGAGATTTTCTCCAAAACATAAATACCAAAGGTTTGAGGGGCTTTTTTCCTAAGTGTCAAGTTGAGTCATTCATCCCGAACACAAATCAACATAAACCTCTCTCTTGTTTCCATCCCACATAAGTAGCAAACAATAATAAATCATACGTGAACTTTATCGCTCAGATTTCCAACTAGTGTCTACTTTATAGAGATTAAATGGAATTCTCTCAGGTAAAATCGCCTTATTAAATTATTTTTACGTAATATCTGAAATAGATGACAATAGAACAGAAGTTGGTAATGGGATGGGTTTTTGGTCTGATTTTTTTTTCTTTCTGTGATCAAAAAAAGTATTTACACCCTTGTAGCTCAACAGGGGCAACATCATCAGAAAGGATGCTCTCTGTCTGTCTGTCTGCCTGTCTGTCTGTTTGTCTGCTTGTCTGTCTGTCTATGTGTCTGTGAGACTGATTGACTGTCTGTCTGTATCTCTGTGTCTCTCTGTCTGTGTCTTTATCTGAGTCTCTCTGTCTGTCTTTCGCTTTCTCCCTCTCTCTCTCTCTCCCCTCTCTCTCTCTTTCTCTCTCTCTCTCTCTCTCTCTCTCTCTCTCTCTCTTTGTGTTTGTGTGTGTGTGTGTGTGTGTGTGTGTGTGTGTGTGTGTGTGTGTGTGTGTGTGTATGTGTGTGTGTGTGTATCTTTATCTGTCTCACTCTCCTCACTCTGTACCTTGACATCATTTTTAAAAATCAACTATTTGTTTACCCCATTTTTTTTCAAAAACCCCACCCCGCCCACAGCTGTGATCACATCCACCTGCATGAGGTTGACCCCCCGTACGACGAGGTCACCCACCGGGACTACTTTCTAGAGAACGAGGGCGATCACTACATCTCCATCTCTGGAAACATCAAAGTGCGCCACTGCGCTGGAAACACGTCTCTAACAGATGGTCGACGCTTCAAGATTGCATACAAAGTCATAGGTAAGAGCGTTTCTTCTTACTTTACAGTGCTTGCACATATGTCAAAACCGAAAGTTCATCTCTGATCTTTGGCGGGGCAAAATAAACCTGGCCAAACCAAAACGTGGATAGACAGACATTGGTGAGATGGATAGCGTCGTGGAGGAAGAAACGTGTGCGTGTATGTGCGTGAGTAGGTGAGTGAGTGTGTGTGTATGTATATATATACATATAGAGAGAGAGAGATGTGTGTG